TTCCTTGACTATCATACAAAGTTCAGGGCCATCTGAAGGAGCAATCAAATTTGAATTAGGGTCCCCTTTACTTACTATTACAATGGGATTCAAATGGCAGTCAGATTTTGTATATATCAGGGCTGGGGAATTTGCACCCCGACAATTGTTTTTGGATTCCAACACCCATCACCCCAAGCCAGGATGGACAATAATCTGTGGTGATGAAAGATGGAATCCAACCTCGGGGGGGGGGAGGGCTGTACTTTTCTCAGCCTTGTAGTGGACTATACTTGCCATCAGAATAGTCAATGTACCAACTTATAGTCTGCCATGCTCCAAGCTTGATATTACAGCTCGAAGAATTTCCTAGCCAGTATGGCCAGATTGGGTGCAAGATTACAGGTACAAGAAACTAATTATAACTAGCTTGTAGACTACAAATATGAATACAGTAACTCATTGCTTGTAATGCATTCTTTTTTAAAAAAAACAACAATTCAATTGCAATACAGATTGTTGTAACTCGAAGAGGGGTCATTTGTTCTGTGGTGCAACAGCAATTTTTTAGTTTTAGCTTACAGCAGCATAAATGTATTGGGTGTTATAGGAAGTGGAAGAAGTCTCTGCCCCAAGAATTTTACAGTCTAAAATTCACCACAGTGGGAGCAACAGAAGAACAGGGAAGTGAAGGCAGAGATGAAATACGGTATGTGTTCTCCCACCCCCAAATCTCTACGCAGAGATTTACAGTAATTCTTACAGTGGAACCTACAGTCCCAGAAATTTAATGTGGTTTCCAAATAGGTACCAGCATTGATCACAGTTACCAGCTAATCCCCTTGAATATGCTAGGACGAGTCATTTAAAAAAGAAAAGCACTGCCCATATTAGTTCTTTCCCTGAGGTGAAATCTGTGTGGTTCACTGATCAAACAGCTGCGGAAATAAGAGCTGGCTTCTCGTTCAGAATAGGAGGGTGGGAGGGTGAGGTGAAGCAGAAAGAACATTCAGAGAGGGTAATCTGTGAGGTACCCAAGTTCAGCTTGAAGTGTTGGCACAGGCAGAAGGAGGAATCTTGTTTTGGCTTGTAGGCTGAACAGGTGAGCGGGCCATCACTGAAAATTAACACTTACAGAGAACAGTGGAAAGGACCATTGCCATCCTCTGCCACCAGTGCCTCTCTGCAGTCCATTTCAATCAAACAAACAATATACCCTCTAGACATACATTGCCTAGAGGGGCGGGGTAAAAATCAAATGAATGAATGAATGAATGAATGAATGAATGAATGAATGAATGAGAGAGGCACAAATTGGACATCAGAAATGGCAACACAGAAAAGCTGGTGTCAGAACATTACCATTTCCGTTGTCACTAATCCTAAATTGCTCAGTAGAAATATAGAAGGTAATTTGAGAGAGAAAGAGATGGAGTAGATTATATCCACAAAATTCAGCATATCCCTAGAGGTTTAAATAGAGTTTGGGGGTGGGGGGTAACACTACTTGTGTATTGGTTTTCCTCTAGTATTGTGTATAACCAAAAAGTTATTTTCTTTGGCAAAATTCTCACCTCAGCCCTACCAACTCCTTTCTGAAAGCAAAAGTGATTGTTCCAAAACATCAGAGCTAAAAGCCTAATATTATGTATCAGGCAACAGATGGTGTACATTAGTTAATTACTCTAACTATTGCCAGGATACTTATATAACCAATTTTACCTGTGTTAGTGATGCTCATGTCACTCTGAAAGTTCATTATGTGTTTCTCTATCCCATTCACCTTGGTCCCTAACCCCACAACCATATATATGGTGGATATAAATATGTGGCCTAAATATTGTAGCCCATGCACCTGAGGAAGTGCCTTGTAATCCATTAAAATTCCCACTGAAATACAGGCTAAATATATTGACAAATAAACAAGAAATGATCTGAGATTGGAATGGCCAGAGTTGCATTATTTTCCATTGACTACTTAATGTACAAGTCAATGTAAATCAGTCTAGAGGTCCTCCCTGAAATTTGTACTTTTCCTCTCTACCTCTGGGGCTTCTGCTTTTTAAAAAAATTAAATGCATTTGCATTGGTTCATGAGGTGTGACTGTTGAACCGATGCAATGGGAGACCAGCAGCTAGCTGTCCTAGCTTTTCTGTTCGGGGTGGAGGGAAAAGAACAAAGGAAGCATTGAGCAATGGGAAAAAGAGAGAAAGCAAAGGGAAAACCAGCAGAGAGGAGGAAATTCATATCCAGCCCTTGTTTGCAGCTTGTTAAAGTAGCTCTGTTGTAGCCATGCCTCCTGCAAATCTGGACAGCTGCAGTAGAGCCACCTTAACAACTTGTTAACAAGGGCAGATTGGCAATTTCCTCCTGTCTCTCTGCTGACTTCTTTGTGTTTCACTCAAACAAATTCACTCAAGAAAGCCCTACTTCCTGGGTGAAAGAAGAGTCACTTAATATTTTGCCTACTTTCTAGCCACGCCCCAAATCTGCTAATCTTAGAGGTATCACAGCACTTCAGATATCCTTTTTGTTATACATGCTGAAACTAAAACAGGTGTATCCTTGAAAACACATATTAATGGGAAACAAGTGTGGGTTCCGCATCTTTTCAGTGTTTAAAGACCTTTGTTGGCTTCCAAGCCATTTCCATGTGCCACTCATGGCAACAACTGCTTTGATAGGCCTGTGTGGATTGATACTTGGGTACCTACCAGAACACCTGATTCCACAGCAGCTTACCTTGCATACATATTGTGGCCAGTTTTGGAGAGTGTCCACTGGACATCCCTATCGCATTTGTGGTGGAGCAGGCATCCTTGGTAGCAGTGACGCATTTATAAAATACAGAGATCAAATACAAATGGGTTTCCCTCTTAGCCATTTTTCTAACCAGGATTACGAGAGTTGGAAGGAAGCATCTTCCACATATGGTGACCTCTGGAGAAATCCCCTTGGGTACTACTAACTATTCCTTTTATAGGCTTCCAGATAAAGAGACATGAGACCATTTACTTTGGATGATTGAGTATTGTAAATGGACTCCATCCAGAAATATCTTTTGATTTCCAACACAGTGTCGGAGGATTACTGTTTCCAGTAGTAAATCAGCTTTGATTTTGCTACCATGCTTTGTACTGTTTCAATACAATGAAGCAGCTGCACCATACTCTCAATTTTTAAAACAAAATTTGAATTCCAATAATATCATACAACAAGAGCTTTCCTGGATCTGCCAAAGGCCTTTCTAGTTTGGCATGCTTTTTACAAAATGGCAAACAAATTGCCTAGAGGAAGCCTCCCAGTAGGACTTGAGTATCCTTCTTCCTTGTCCCAGAAATATAGAGAGAGACATAAGAATGGAGTTGATATACAGCCATCCTACCTACTAGCCTTGACACGTCGTGAGAATGGCTGATGGTTGGATTCCAAAGGATCTCCTGTATGGAAAATTAGTGCATTGAAATCGCCCCAGAGGGAGACCACAGCTGCGATACAAGGACATCTGCAAGCGGGATCTGAAGGCCTTAGGAATGGACCTCAACAAATGGGAAACCTTGACATCTGAGCATTCAGCCTGGAGGCAGCCACTGCATCACGGCCTCTCCCAATTTGAAGAGCCCCTTGTCCAGCAGGCCGAGGCAAAGAGGCAGTCACAAAACCAGCAAAATCAGGGAGCTGGACAGGGGACAGATTGTATTTGTCTTCAGTGTGGAAAGGATGGTCACTCTAGAATCGGCCTCCTCCGCCACACTAGATGCTGTTCCAAGTCCTCCATACAGAGCACGTTACCATAGTCTTTCAAGAGTGAAAGATGCCTAAATAACCTACTAGCCACGGATGGTGCTAACCTCCATCTTTGCATCTCATCCCTCTTAAAGCCATGGCATTGGTGATAGTCACTATATCTTCTGGCAGTGAATTCTGCAGTTTTGTTGTTGTTCTGTGTTGTCACGTTAGAACAGACTTATAGTGACTCTGACAGGGCTTTCAAGGTAAATGAGACATTTAAGGAGTGATTTTACCTATTCCACTTTCCCAGTGAGTTTCCACAGCTGAGTGGGAAACCCGTTCTTCCCAGTGAGTTTCCACAGCTGAGTGGGGATTCAAACCCGTTCTCCAGAGTCCTTTTTCCATCACTCTAACCACTACACCACATTGGGAATCTAGTGCGAAATACTTGCTAAAGAAGTGCTTCGTCTTATCTGTCTTGACTCTCCCACTATGCAGTTTCACTGGATGACTTCAGCTTCTAGTAGGATAAGAGAAGGAGGAAAACTTTTCACGATGGACTTTTGTAACACAGTTGTCACTGAACTTTACACACTTACAGAACTAATTCTCCCTGGAGTGACTGTTCTGTTGAATATGCAAAGGTCTATATAATTCTCTAAAGTCCTTAGAAAGTATTATATGGTGTCCTGATTTATTATAAGAATATTATGCAGAAATATTTGATGCTCCCATTAAGGATTCACCAGTCTGTAGGATAGGCACATTTAATGGGAAACTGATTCCTATAAATTTAATACCCTGTTTCCCCAAAAATAAGACCTAACATGAAAATAAGCCCTAGTTTGATTTTTCAGGATGCCCATAATAAATCCCTAGCCCCCAAATAAGCCCTAGTTAAGTGAAACCCCACCCTCCACCCTTGTGCAGCAACCAGAAGGAGATGATGACATAACTGCGTTTGAATAAATGTTGATGGTTGTACATGAAAAAGAAATAAAACATCCCCTGAAAATAAGCCCTAATGTGTTTTTTTTTGAAGCAATAATTATTTTCGGGGAAACACGGTAGTTGTGCAGAAGGTGAAACATTAGTAGCTGTACCTTGTCATGCAAGTTCCAGCTGCTGAAATTTCTTCTGCCTCACAACTGTTAAGGTGACAAGAGTCCTGTCCTCCATTCCATGCAGCTTCTCTACTGCTCAGGGGACGAAGGTCTGTCTTCACTTTTATACATTCTAAGTACAGGACATGAAACTCAAGCACAGCTGTCTTCTGTTTCTCCTCTAGGTGGCGGCCCAGACTTGCTCATACCCATGCCAGTGTCCTTCACAGACGCCTCAATGCCCTGCGGGCATCAGCCTTCTGCTGGATGGCTGTGGGTGCTGCAAAGTGTGTGCCAGGCAGCTGGACGAGCCGTGTTCCTTGCAGAAACCTTGCGATCACCATAAAGGGCTCTACTGTGACTCCCCCGAAAACCATAGAGACCATGGCATCTGCTTAGGTAAGTTCCTTCCACAACTTGAAACCCTTTTCCAATGAAGGCTAGCCTGTCTTCTTCTCTTGCTGCTTTTCTGCCAGCCGGAAATGCCTTGCCATTTAAATGGGCTTTTGGCCACAAAATGACTGCTGAGGAAGGGCCTTGCAACAGAGATATGAGTTTCTGTACTTTCCTTAAACATTGTGGGTTGTTATTGTTCTTAGCTTTAAATATGGTCTTTTAATTATGCAAGCCACCATTGTCTTTCAATGGGAGTAAGCTGCCTTTGGTCCTTTTTAAGGAGAAAGGTGAGGTAAATATATTTTAAATAAATAAATTGTTTTTAATTGACTTGTTACTTTCATGTGGTAATCTATTTCAATTTTAACTAGGGATTTGCATTCGGATTCAGAAATATCCAGAATGCACCTAAAAACGCCATATTCAGATAGTTCCAACCATCTCTGAACCCATATTTGATAATTCCCTATATCTGTTATAATAATTCATAATATTCAGAGTCCCATTTACCGTATTTTTCTGTGTGTAAAATGACGCTTTCCCCTAAAATAACTAGAGGAAAAATTGAGGGTTGTTTTATACACGGAAGTAAGGAGGGAGGGAGGGATCAAAGCGCTTTGATCCCTGCTTTCCCCCTCCATGTTTTGCAAAGAAAGTGGAGTAACTGCTGCCCTGAACATCCCCTTCACAGAGGCTTCATATTAAGCATCAACAGGGCTGGCCCTAACATTAGGCAAGGTGAGGCAACCAACTCAGCCAGCAGCCATGCATGCCCACAGCCATTTTTCCTGAGTCCTTTGTCTTTCCCCTTCTCATGAAAGTCCATATGTGTCTAGGCTGCAGCCTTCAGGTTTGGTGGTAAGCCTTATCCCCTTGCCGCTGTTGAAGGAAGTTTGGGTTGCCAGTCTCATTAGCCTCTGTTGGTTGGAGCAAAGGGCGGGGGCACATCTTGACCTTGGCATCTGGAAGCAAAATATCAGTCCTATTCTCATTTGGTTCATTTTTCATACCAAACATGCTTGTGTCTCCCAGCGCCGAATGTTTCTTTCTCCTTCCCAATTCACTCAGTTGTACTCACAGTGTGGGAAAGTTCCCTTTTTTGGACTACAGCAATTGAAATCCCACAGCCAGCATGACTGGAAGGAATGTTGTCTAGCTCTAATTGTGCCCAGTCTGGTCATGATGACTATTAGCTGTGCATGGACACATACCAAAACATACTAAATCCAATAGTTGCTGTAGGAGTATGACCTCTGCTCGCATAGCCATCCACACACACCATCATTCCACCCCGAAGACACTTCATCTTGTTTTATTTCAGAAACTAAGTAAAGTCAAACCAAGTTAATTCTTGATTGTAGAAGGCTACCAGGGAATACCTAGGATCTCCAGGTAAGAGAAAGAAAGTCTCCTGACTGGGCAGCCGCTCATGAAGCAGATTCCTCCCCTCTGAGGTTCTTTGTTTTCCCTTCTAGCTCATGAAGGGGCCACCTGCGACCTGCTGGGGAGGATCTATTCGAATGGCGAGAGCTTCCAGCCCAACTGCAAACTGCAGTGCACTTGCATGGATGGGGCCATTGGCTGCATCCCCCTTTGCGCCGACGGGCCGCGGCTGCCTTCCTCTGACTGCCCGTTCCCTCGCCGGGTGAAAGCACAGAACAAGTGTTGCGAAGAGTGGGTCTGCGAAGGGAGCAGCCAGAAGAAGCGCTACGTAAAGGGCATGTCAGGTAACACACATCTTGGTGGGCGGGGGAGGCGACAGCGAGAGGTGCCAGATGTCTGGACTACGGCAGCCCCAAGAGCCCCCAGCCAGCAAGGCCAGAAGTAACTTTTCAAGATAAGATTGTGCTCAATCTTCCAACTGCTACTCCAAACATGGCAAATTTTGTGCATTTATACAAATAAATGAAAACAATAGATGCCATTGATCGTGACGGCTGTGGGATGTGGTCAGTGCCAACCACTGCCTCTATCCTACTGAATCCTGGATTTTTTTGTTTTGTGTAAGCACCGAGAACTCTGCGGTGAAGAACTCTAAGCACCTCAGCAAACCCCAGATCCCAGGATTCCATAACATAGAAACCATCGCAATTACCGTGGTGTCAAACCGCTGTAATGATGCAGTGTTATTCTGCCTGCACAACCTGATCAGAATCTTAGCCTAGGACTGAGCTGGATATGGCATTCCCCACCCACACCCCTGGTTTGCCCCTGGGCAGTTGTTTTGTCTTTATGAATGAGCAAACTCTTGGAGAGATCACATTCTTACTCATCTTGAAGATGGGTTAGGACTCTAGCATGTGGGAAGGGCAATTTACCTTTTGCTTCCACCACAGTTCCTCATAGAAGTCACGTCTCCAAAACCCTGATCTTTCAAGCCATTATGAACCACATAAGGACAAACAAGGTGTGACACGCAGAACTAAGGAAAGTTACTGTTTTGGATGAGAACTCTTGCAACTCCCAGCTGCAACTGCCACTGTCCTTGCTAAAGGGAGATAACAGGCAGTTGTTGTCCAAAAAAGTAACGTTCCCAAGCTCTGGGCCTGGACAAATCAGTGCACAAGTTGTGCCATTCCGTGAGATGCCATATCTAGTCGTAGTGACATGTGGCTTAGTTATACCTTGTTAAAAATGCAACTGCTGAAATCCTAGTGCCTTTTAAATACTTTGGGTTCTTTTACTGGGAGGAAGGCAAGATATAAAGTCTTTGACTTTCATGGAAATCCTTTTGCCTGTCTCAGTTTATAGGAATAACCCAACTCACAAACCCAAACCCAAGCCGAAAATTAATCTCAAGACCAACAGCCTGCAGGACAACTGCTTGGTGCAAACCACCGAATGGAGTGCCTGCTCGAAGACCTGCGGGATCGGCATCTCCACCCGGGTCACCAATAATAACTCACGGTGCCGACTGGAGAAGGAGAGCCGGCTGTGCCTGGTCCGCTATTGCAACGCCCTTCCGGAGAACAGCTTCAAGGTATTGTGGCCGTTGGCTGGGAAGGGGCTCCCTGCAAAACGGTGGCCTCTGCAAGAGGGTGGGGGCCAGAGCTTGAAAAAAGTCACATTGGAGGAGGAGTACAACTCTCTGAATCGCCACCAACCCTGCCTTCAGCCAAAATATAGCTTTTCCAAGCTCTGATCAATTCTGTCAGAGCCTGTCCTACTTCAGAAGATTGTTGTGAAGATAAGGTGGAAAAGATGAAAGCCACATGCATCCCCTCAAGCTCTCTTAAGGAAAGATCAGAGTGGAACTAAGAGAAAAACACAATAAAATATTTAGGTGGAGCTAGAAAAAGCTCATTTTTGAGTGGCTGCCAGTCAGTGTAAGACAGGGTTAGGCACCATCCTGCTCACACCATACACAAAAAAGAGAGAGAAGAGAGCAGTGATTCTCCCTCTAAAGGGAAGTGTAGTCCATCTCAACCAATTTTAAAATTTTATTTTTTTAGAATACATTTCTACAAATTGGGAAGCGGGTGTCCCCCGTCTCCCACCCCTTTTCTCAGGTCACTGCAGTTTCTAGTGGGTCTTGGACCCACTCAATCAGCCCCTGAAGCTGATACAGTGGTACCTCGACTTACGAACTTAATCCGTATTGGAATGGCATTCATAAGTCAGAAATGTTCGTAAGTTGAAGCACCATTTCCCATCGGAATGCATTGAAAACCATTTAATCTGTTCTGGCTGTTTTTCGTTCATATGTCAAGGCGCTGTTCGCAAGTAGAGGCATTAGTTCCCATAGGAACTAATGCAAAGCCGGTTAATCCATACTCTACCACTAGGGGTGAATTTTTTTCTTCTTCTTTTGACCTAAGATGAACTTAGGTCAAAAAAAGGGCAGGAAAGGGGTTTTTTTCCTTTGACCTAAGATGAACTTCGGTCAAAAAAGGAGCAGGAAAGTTTTTTTTTTCCTGATCGTAAGTTGAGGCTCTGTTCGCAAGTCGAAGCAACATTTTGTGAACGGAGCCGTTCGTAACTCGAAATGTTTGCAAGTGGAGACATTCGTAAGTCAAGGTTCCACTGTATTCGCAAGTGGAGACGTTTGTAAGTCAAGGTTCCACTGTACAGGCCATCATGAGCTGCATGACCCCTTGATATAAAGCACCTTCTCACATCCAGGTGTTCTTCTCTCAGGCAGCCTAGTTGAGATTCAGTTCCTAATTTGAACTTTCTTTTCAGAAGGGAAGGAAGTGTGCCAAGACCCGAAAGACCCGTCGAGCCATCCGTTTCGAGTTCACCGGCTGCACCAGCACTCGCTCCTACCGACCCAAGTTCTGCGGCAGCTGCACCGATGGGCGATGCTGCACTCCGCGCATCACCAGCACCACCAACATAGAATTCCAGTGTCCAGAAGGGGACTCTTTTGTCTGGAAGATGATGGTGATCAGATCCTGCTCCTGCCACTATGATTGCCCTGCAGACAACGATATCTTCCTGGCTGTCTACCGCCGGCGAATGATTGGGGATCACGTTAAGCTAGGGAAGCAGTAGCATCTCACCATTATGCTTCCACTGAAGTCAGCCATAGTGATGAATCGATCCAAAAATGTTTATACTGCTAACATCTGGGAGAGAAAAAGATACTGATGGAAAAAAAAATCTGAGTTGCAAGAGAAACACAACATAGACATGTCCAGCTACTACAGCACCCTCCACACTATAGTGGCACACATCTGACATTTTGTGTTCTAGAAGAGGGACTGATGCAGTTGATCTGGCACCAACCTATATCTTGTCTCGAGATACCCAGATCCAAATATTTCTCCATCTTTGAAGATGAACTGTCTTAACGGTGTTGACTTTAGGCAGCTCTTACTCTGATCATACTAATACTGGACATCAGAGACAGCCCCGTTTCAAGCTTCTCATAGTTGGATATAGTTTTGTTGTTTCTAAAAAAAACAAAATATAATGCCAACAAGACCCAAGTGCAAAAAAAGAGAACATTTAGTGTCAAATCATACAAGAAAACAGCTTGGTAATTAGAAGAAAATATTATGTTTTTTTCTAGGGATGTAATTCCTTTAAAGCACCATGCTGAAGCAATAGGACTTGCAAATGATGTCCATTATTTACCCTAATAACAAAAAAAGTTACTTTGCAACTTGTGGGAGTGAAGAAAACTCATGCTATGATAGACAAATATATTTTACTTCCTAAGAAAGCTTTGTTTCTAACAATGTGCAAACTTTATTTTGTAGCTTGACCTTCAGGATTAACACAGTGAAGAATGCAATCTGTCTGCATGCACTATCAGCCTAGAAATTTGCTTTTGACACCAGCACCAAAACAGAACTGAGGATACAAAATCCACTTCTCGTTGTCACATACTTTATTTGAGTCAGAAACTCAGTTCAGGTGGAACGTCGTTTTGCTATGGTACTCATTCTAGAACTGGGAGTTAAAAATGAAACTCTTGACTATTTTCTACAAATTTACCTTCTGCCCTTCCTTGCTGTAGGTTTAGGCCTGTGCTTACCTGGATCCTGTTCTTCTTCTTAGAGTTATCACCCACCCAGCTCCTGGATCTTCTTCCACTGACTTTAGATGCAAAATGTTCAAAAATCAGACAGAGTGGCTATGAGGCAATGTGGGTACACTGTGAACACCCCCTCAGCCGCCCCCCCACTTGGATTCTGAGTCAAAATGACTCATCTTTCCTGTCCTGCAAAAGAGTTAGCGGAACTAGAGGCAAAAGTCCATTTGGAAACCTTGAACTGTAAAGACATCTGTTGCGTTGGCTGCCTAAGATAATCTGACCACACGGAATCGTCTTGTCTCTCAGTAAAGGTTCCACATCCCGTATCTTTGGAAGCTCTACCTTGGACTATTATTCTCTGCAAGAGAGAACCTGATCCCTTTTCCCATAGTTCATCCTCCAAGTATATTTCGGGTTCTTCTCTAGAGATCTTCCCCTTCCCGCAGACATACATTTATAATGTAAATATTATGGAACCAGCTTTAAAAAAATTCAAATCAATGTATTCATGACTCCTTTTTTTATAACTAATTGTTTTTATTTTTATCTATATTTGATTTCTTTACATGCTGTGTTTTTTTTTAACTTCTTGCTTACATGATGCCAAAGAGTTTTATGAAGTTAATATACTGCATCTAAAGATTAGGGCAATAAATGCCTTTTTAAACAAACAAACCCCCCCAGGTTAAAATATTTTTAATAGATAGGCTTGATCGTCCTGTCCCGTGCAGTACTGGAGAACAGCGACAACCCACCCTCCCATTCAACCACACATTGAGACAAAACACAGCACAAAACAAGGGTCTTCCTCCTCCCCCTTCCTTCAACCATTAGGGCAGGGGCGGGCAATTAATTTATATTGGGGGGGCACATGAAAAATCTGAACTGTGTTCGGGCCGAAACAACTTTACTTAAAAATAAAATGAAACAGTGATGTTATGATTGTTTTTATTTTAAACTTGTTAATCTTCACAAATACTAAAGAGGTTTTTTTGTGGTATGTTAAAGATAAGCAACTGATCAACTTTAGACAAAAAGCTATAAATGCTTTTGATGTTCAAAACTGTTCGCGGGCCGGACAGGAGCGGCTCGCGGGCCGTATGTGGCCCTCGGGATGCACTTTGCCCAGGTCCGCATTAAGGTCTCCTCCTCCTCCTCTGCCTATTTATTTTACCTTTATCACTTTACAACCTGTGTCTTTTATTTCCTATTAGGTGCCTGAAGTATGCATTCAATGAGTTTGATTATTTCTTGGTCTTTATTCATTTGTACACATTCTTGGATTGCCCTCTACTGCCAAGAAATGTTTAGCATTCCCACAATAAGTCCACATTTCATGGATGTTGCCTTTACAGATATCCTAACGGGTTGGAGGGTTCATAGCTGACACTGATTAACTAGGAGATGGATCTTGGACGTGTAGTGAATAGATAATTGAGGCAAAACACCATGTTTGTGACACTGAGATGTGTAAAATTATCTCTTTTTTCCCCCCTGGAATACAACTACCGGCCATGCAGTCCAAAAAAAAGTAACATTGACAGTCTCTGTGGGAATTGTTGGCAAGGATTCAAAAATAAAGTTACCAATATCATAGAGAAGTTACAGATTTCTGTGGTGCAGCCACACTTAGAATACAGCCAACTTTCTGAATATTCAGAAAGGATGTGTTAAAGCTGGAAAAGGTGCACTAAAGACCAACCCAAACAACCAGGGGGGCTGCAGGAGCTTCCCAGGGAAGAAAGATGATGACATTTGGATTTTCTTAGTCAGATGGTGGGAGATTCAGGACTGATAAAGGGAAATGCTTCACAAAAATATATAACTCACTATTACAAGAATGCTTGTTTTCTGTTTCCACAGTCTTTAACTACAACCACTAAGTCAAGACCTTTGTTCAGTGCTCCTAGGTAAACACACATAGAGCTTAGAAAAAGTTACTGCAGTTCCCAGAATCTTCCAGCTAGCATAGACAGTGGCCATGTGGGGTGAATTCTATAGACTAAAAAGTAATGCTTCCATTTTCTGGGCATGCATGGGACACCGGCACAAGCAACTAATAAGTGACGTCCTCTTCCAAGAGCAGTAACTTCTCTAAAGTTTTCCTCCAAGTACGTAAGAGACAAAATGGCACACTCTGGGCCCAGGAGGGAGATTTATTGGCAGGCTCAAGGGCCCCCAAGGTTTGCAGGAGTAGAAAAGACCTCTGAGGAGGGTGGGGGAACCTCAGTGAGATCTTGCATGCTGAGTGGGGACAGAATAAGGACAGATTTCTGCTTCAGGAAAAATGAGAAAAATGGGCAGAGGGGAGTATAGTATCCTGTGCAATGGCACGGCTGGCTTCCAGAGCCCTGAACCAAAGCAGCATCTTGTTCTAGGTCTCACTTCTTAAAAATCAAAATGGCTAGACATTGGAAAGATTACTTGTTTGGGGTCCCTGGGCCACTGGGAACTGTAATTTTTAAAAAGTAGCTTTTCCAAGTTTAGGACTCAGTTTGTTTTATGGGTAGCCAGGGATGTTGGTAATGGGTCAGGTTGTGTGTTTGTGTGTGCTGCTCTGCAACTTCTTCAGATGTCTGCATTGGAATATTTTGCAATCTCGCATGCTGCCTTTAGTAGGTGTGGCTGGGAGGGAATTTTCTGGGCTGTCGTGACTGTCAGTGTATCCAATACTGTACTAACCAATCATTCCTTCCCTGCTTCTGAATTCTTCAGTCTGTTGCTGAAAGCAGTCTGTCGTTTCGCTGTCTGATCGGTTCTACTGTTAAGTAATGAAACTTTATATTCTTTGTCTTGCAAATGTCTCAGAGTGAGTTACTGAGAAGGTAAGTACCAGTTCATGAGAAAAAGGGTAGACTAATCTGGGGAACTGGAAGCTATTCTGCTCTGTAAATCCCTGCACTTCTGCGGCCACAGGAGTTTAATCAAAAATTCAAAAATTCTGCAGCAATCTGGACCTCAGGCAAGGGGCCTACCTCATCGAATGGGATCCTGCCAAGCAATTCCATTCAGGATCTGTTGGAGCTTTTATTCTGTGTGTAGGCCTACTACGCCTAAGAGGAAAACATCTGGAGCAACACAAACCTACAATACCTGGACCACCTTGCAGATGTCATGACAATGAAGCTAGTTTAACTATTATTTAGGTCTCTAGCTTAGGCACTCCCATTGTACATGTAAAATAATGATACATAGTGGCCCTCCAGCAGCAGCTATTTCAAGTATGCACAAATAAGGATGGTGGAAGGACTTTGCCCATTCAGTGAACTTTACAGGGCCAGCCCTACCATTGGGCAAAATAGCACAAACAGAATGGCAGATCCTGGGACAGCATGGCAGTTTCCTTCATCCCTTGCCATTCCATTATCTTGGAAGACAGCCAGCACTCCATAAATGAAGTTGCTGCCCTTAAGTGTTCTATTGCCAGTGGGTTAAAATAACTTTTCAGCTGACAATTACTATTGTACATCAAAGGAAGGGTGCCCATCTTGCCCTTTGCTTCAAATAGGAAATGTCTTGGCACACTCGTGAATCGTCTTTTGAAAATTCCAAGTATTTGGTTTCATCGTATGTATTTTTTCTATTGACCTAAATTACAATCCTACTTGCAATTTAGGGTCACGATGGGGATCATACCACCAGTGGCAAATTGCTACTCATTAAAGGCAATATGTGGACATGTGTGCATACAACTTGTATACAATGTGATAAAGTGGCATGCACCCCAAAATCACTAAGGGGAATGTTCAAGTAGCAGTAATTTGCAGCAGCTGCTGTTGCAGATATCCTTGCACACAAAGCTGCGCAACAAGAATCCTGCTGCTGTCAAAATTAGGCACTAGGGGGTGCAGTAGAGTATTTCGTTGTATATAAGGCAACACACCCTCAACTGAATACTTTTGTGAAGGGATCAGATGTAACATTGACTGGTTGCCCAATTGTGACAAGTTGCTTTGAAAACAAAATCTTTGTTCACACTGCCCCAAGGCTTCAACCAAAGTTGTCCATTTTGCCTTCAGTTTGGAAGAAGGCCTTTTAAAATAAAACAGTGAAGGAACACAGGAACTCTATCATCCCACATGACTTCCCGGCTGATAGGGACGGAGCTTGATCGAGGGTAGCTGGCGAAGACGGGGGCCAAATGCACACCTTTGGCAGACCAGACTAGGCACAGAAGGCAATTTACCTCTGCACCACAGAAAGGCGTGGATGATCTCTGTGAACAAATGGGGGCTGTTGGGACATACACGATGGCAGCACCTGGGTCTCTTTTGCGGCAAAATCAAGACCCGGGTCCTGATGCTTGAGCTACAAATAGCCACAGAACAGATGAGCGAAGCAGCAGCTGGTTCTTGTGGCGGGAATGTAAGAGGGGCTTTAGGGAAGCTTAGCAGCTTATGGACTCTGCTCATCAACACATCATTGCAGGGGGGGGCTTGTTTCCCCCCTCTTGATCCTTCCGGGAGAAGATTTGNCTGTTGGGCCATCGGGGGGGGGGGGAATCTGGTGGCAAAGGTTGTATGTGCACTAAAAGGACTGATGCCTGGCATCTTGTTTTCCCAGTTCCAGACCAGTTAGAATGGTTCCCCAAGAAATAATAGTGCCATGGGAATATAGGGCCATTCTGTGCATCTCGCTTAGGTTAGGAGGATCTGCTTCTTAGCCGATCATTACAAGATAAGGCATGGCAAGCGAACCTGTTACTAGGAATTTATGCAGGCATACGGAGGGCAAAGTCAAAACTGGGCTGGTTCCATGGGGCCCACAATCCCACAATCCTCACACCACAAATATTTCCCTCCAGGATAAAGTGGTGTAAATGCTCATCATCACGGCAGTCTCCATATCTCAGGCCCCAACAACAGTTTTCAAAGCGGCAGTGTTAATTGATAGCCACAGCCCAGTTCTAGCAGTTTTCAACTCCCCCAGGGCTTTGCCGCATAGATATAGCAAGGGAAAAATAAAACCCAAACCAGCTATGAATTGGGACAGAGCGCTCCCTAAGAATTGTTGGGCACTTTCGCTCCCTCGAGTTGGACGCTAGGTGGCGGTGTGCACCCCCCGAATCAGAGAAAGAGCCCCGGGTGAGAGCAGGAGGCGCTCCGAGGTTCTGGTCTGTGGATGCCACGGAATTTAATGGGGCTTGCTTCTGAATAAACGCACATAGTATTATCATCAAGGGTCCTGTGCCCTTTTCTGAGTGTCAGCCTTTGGTGGATTGCAGCTGTTTCTGTCGAGGGAAGGGCCTTCAATTGCCCCCGCCCCAAGTATATTCATGAATGACCCCTAATTGGGAGGCTATATATTACACGCCTCTGTTTGTTTGTTTGTTTTGTTTTGTTTTGTTTTGACTCCGTTGTTGTGGGGTCGGGGCTGGTGGGATTAATATTTTATGTTTATACGTTTGAATACTGTATATTCCAGTTGTACATTTTTGAAATATCCATGATTAAGTATGGTTTGTCCAGCTGCCCTGCGGTTTGCATT